TGCTCTCACTAGCTGTGGTCTGGAAATCACAGTACCTAAGAATCATTGAAAGGTTTTTCAGCCTGGCAGCTGGAAGCAGTGAGGCACTCACACTGTCTGTCTGTCTGTCCACACAGGTGTCTGGTAGCTCCTCCTCAGCAGCTGTTGAACACTCTGGCCTTCTTGAGCATTTTTAGATGATGGGTAATGACTTCAGCCCTTGGAAGGTCTTAGCAGTTCTGTGAAAATCAACACCTACTAATGTCAAAATATAAAAATTTGGGTCTGGCTGAAGAGAAGCTKGTAGCAACCCTAAGAAAACATGCTGGAAGGACAAACAGAAGCCCTGGCTCTGTCTAATGGCTCTGCAGCAGCTCAGGAGGACCCGACAGGACCAACAGGCAGAAGGAAGAGAGGTTTGCTAAGGACATGGCAAAATAGATCTTCAATGAGACGTGGCACAGATAGTCAGGAAATCAAGCTTCACTACTCCCTCTGCTCACAGAATGAATTTGTTATTAGGACTGTGGTGATGTAGGTTTATATAGGTCACTATGACAGCAAAAATATATCATTTTTATCTTCAGCCTTTTTAATCCACAGTATCAGTCTGACTGATTTATTATTACTTATAAACCACACTGACAAAGACTTCATTTTATCTCCATGCATAAATACCAAGTTCCTAAAATATAGAAGATGCACATTGGCTATCTGTGTAAACAAGAGAATAGTTTTTCTTCTGATTTTATGACATATATATATATATATATATATATATATATATATGTCTGTCCATATATATATATATATATGATCAATCAAGTCTGTATTTCAGCCATTTTAAAACGCAAGGAAACAACATCGTGCTATTTTTCTGTTTTCCTATTCTACTGCAAATATGATATTTAATCCCTACAAATACAACTTTAGATTGTCTTCCAGTAAAGATTCCTATTCCCATCCCATTTATTCTCTATCATGGCCAACTGTATTAGCTTCTTGATAACATGGAGTCATATTGTTTTTCGTAGTCCTSACTGTGAGTGGCCCATTGATCTGCCATTATCACTCCATGGCCTGGGTTTTCACCCTTACTTTCAAACACAGGCATATTCTGACCTCATTCTTGCAGCTACAATGACAAAAGAAAAATAGTATTTGGATAATATATGTTAGAGACGTAAAGGCTGGCTGAATCCTGGGCACTCCAGGAGCCAAGGATCTCTCCTTGCTGACTGGTGCAGCTCAGCCGTGGGCATATGGGGTCTCTCCATCCCTGTGTTTGTCCTGTCCTTGCTCCTGTCCTTGTGTGCAGGTTTGTCCAGCAGCAAAGCTGAGCATCTGCCCCAGAGAGGCACATGAAGAGCACCAAGGCAGCTACACACAGAGATTACCCCGCAGACACTGCCTTCAGCCACACCCACATAAACACCAACAACCCTCTACCTCCTCGTCTCCAACTGATAAGGATTGAAATTCTCYGTGAAAACTCGTTTTCGAGATTCTCAAGCCCAGATATATTCACAGATYCTTGACTATCAGCCCAGCTTGTAAATCCCACTAAAACCCATGCCAGGGCTGCCTTACCCAGTAAGTGGGTCTCCTCCTACTCTCCTGACAGTCCAGCTTGAAGTTTGCTAGCAAGAAAATGTGTGAACCACACACTTGTCTCACAAGCCTCTCTGCAGTCATGGATTTCTTGAATATTAGCACACCTTCTCMGTCCACCCGTGCCCAGTTCTTATGTCCCTTTTATTCAGCATGACCTCAGACCTTGAATTCTTCCAGRTTCAGGYTTCCTCCTGCTCACCAACTGGTCCRGCTTAAAATTTATCATACAATTACACATACATGTGTATACAGGATTACATTAATGGTGGGGAAAATAATCACATTTTGGTATTTACAGGTGCTAACATTTAGACCTCTCCACATAAATACACACCCTGATGGCTCCGGTTGTTGACAGCATGACCTACTCACTGTCCTTCCAATTGGGACAACCCGTGTGTCTAGAGGAAAAGGTTTCATCCCAGACTATGAGCTTTTTCGTTTAGAACGATAAAATCATTTTGAATGGGAAAGACCTTTAAAACCATCTACCCATTAACACAGCCCTGCCAAGTCCACTATTTAATCAYGTCCCTAAGTGCCACATTTACACATCATTTAAATACCTTCAGGGTTAGTGACTCCAGCACTCCCTGGGCAGCCTGTTCCTTTTCTTTGAAGAAATGTTTCCTGGTATTCAATCTAAACCTCCCCTGCTGAAACTTGAGGCCACTACCTCTAATCCTATCACCTGCTACTTGGGAAAACAGACGGACTTTCTCCTGGCTACAACCTCCATTTAGGCAGTCGAAGAGATTGATAAGGTCTTCCCGAATTTACCGTGCTGGTCTCTGGAATATTGGTCCCTCTAATTGCTGTCACCAACATCTATGTGTCCCTTCTCCGGCTGCTAGCATTTACGCTTTGCAGCACTCAGGCATGTGATACAAAGCTCTGCCCAGCCCCCAGGCACTCSTGGCACCGAGAGCAGCCTCATCCATTCCCCTCTCACCGCTTAGGGAGCCAGGATCCACCCCCTTCCTTCTCCCCCGCCGCGGTGCCCGAGGGCCATCCCTAATGGCCCATCAAGGAGTGGCTCAAAGGGTCTGGACACTCTTCTTGTTTCTTTTACCTCCTGCTGATGAGTTTGTGTATCTGCCGTGCTTGTTCTATCCCTTTCCTTGTTACGTGTTGCTGCTTCTAAAGTCAAAAGTTAGAGCCAGGTAACTTAAAGAGGCGGGCGCTGCTCCATTCCACACAGMTCACAATACACACTTTGAGAGCTCCCGGTGCCTGAGGTCGCCTGAGGCCAGAGAGGGATCCGTGAGTTGAAGAGTTCACGACTAAAAGACTTGGCACAAGCAGGAGGAGGGAAGCCGCTGAAAAAACGCCAGGCATCCTAGCAGGACACAGGGTTAGAGCATCTCCTTTTTTTGTGTGTGTGTGTGTGTGTTTCAAAGCATGGGTTTTACTCTAATTGGTGTTTCTGTTTCTAATTGGTGCATGGTTTTACAATGCAAAATATGGAAGTAGATTCAGATGTTGCAAATGAAATTTTATTGTGCTGCTACCACAGGCAGCACAAGCAAGTACTCGATACTGCCGGAGATCACTTGAGTGAGACGTCATCCAAGAAAACTGGCAACACAAAAAAGCACATCACTCCTGCAAGCGAACTTCAGGGAACGTGTTTCCCTGCTCTGCCTTTCAGTCCTGTCAAAGTTATGAGAAAATGCAATACCATTCCCATTCCCGAAGGTAATCATGCTGCAGCTTCAAATCACTCTTCTCTCGTTGCCCAGGAATCCCAGATAGGACCTGGCTTTCCTGCAAAAGTAGCCACATCAATCACGTTTAATAAAATTGTACAGCAGCTTGGACTTGTGAGTCAGCCACAGCAGCTGCTTGACATGTTTTCCCACAATGTTTTGAGTGATGATCCAGAATGAGAAATTAGACCTCTTATCCTGAAAACCAGTGCTGCTGATGGTATAGAACTAGTCCTAAAGACTACACTACTGAGCTTTCTCTACTCTGACCAAAAGTAATGTGGAAGCAAATAAGACTTAGATAAAACACTAAGGGGAAACCTTTCCAGAATATTGAAATTTTCCAGCATAGTAAGGATAGTGAAGCAACAAGATCAGTCTCCTTGTCAGATTCGGTTTTTTGAAGACCACATCTTCCAGGAATGGCACGGCCAAAGCTGGGACATAAGAGGGGGTCAAGGTGTGGAGATCAAGCTAATAAGGTTTACTGAACATACGCTGAATAATGCTTCTCTAAGAACCTCATCTCCTCTCCGTAGGAAAACTCTTTTCCACAAAGCCCCATGATTGCATTCTTAGAAAAGAGCACCGAATTTGCACTCCAATAGACAGAAGAGTGGGTGATTGGTGGATTTAAAGGATCATTAGAAGCCAATCTTCGGCCCCATCACAGCTTAGTCCTGGGAGCTCGTCTAAAATATTTCAGTCGTTTGGCGCTGGCACAGGTATCAGCCTGGGACAGACCAGCCATCCCGGCAGCCCCACTCCAGGAAACCGTCCCTATCCCCACTGGAAATTCTTACTGCTATTCTCAAGCTTCTACTGCAGGGAAATCCCCCAAAAATATAGCTGAGATTTTCTGAGTCAGCGCACGAAGGATGACGTTCTCACCCCAGATATATTAGGATTACAAGCAAAGGGATTCACTCACTTCAGTCCCCATGGGCAGGCTTCAGACCTGCAAGCAGTTCCTGCAACCCACTACAACTGAGCAAGTTTATGATACTGGTGTCATGTGTTATGAGTACATATTCTGTGGTCCTCTTCTCACCCAACACATTCCCTGYTTTTTTTCATTTGTATTCCTGGGTCTGGCACGAGCCATTTGGGAATTACCAAAGCTCTATGCCCTGCTGAAGGCAAATAAAAGGTGAGCAGCTTAAACAGCTAATACTGTTATATGACTATTCCACCACAAAAAAAAAAATTACAATTCTTTATAATGCTTGATTTTGCATATTTTGCCTGTCTGGGAGGAGATTGAATTCAAGGAGGAATAAAAGATGGCACAGAAAGACAGAGTACTGTGCATAGATTATATACAGTTATGCTTCCTGCCCATAAGGTAAAATATAAATGGAAGAGAAGCAAGAGAAACAATATGTTGCATCCTCAAAAAATCTATTTCCCCCTTCTATTTCCCACTAAGTGAATAAGGGGGAAATAGCTCTTCTGTTCAGTTTCCCAYCCCTCCCTTCTTCCTTCCCTCCCTCTCCCTTAAAAAAAAAAAAACTTGGAAATTTTAAGTGCATCAGAATCTTTTTTTTTCTGTTAAGCTAATAAATCACCATTTTTCCTCAATAAACACTGATGATTTAACTGACAGTTTATTTTAAAAATAGATCAAACATTTGGTCATGCAAGTGCTGTATTTTATCCCTAATGGRAATAATTAAACTTACTTAAATGCATGAAGAAGCGAAGAGGAAATAAAATAGCCATCTATCTTACCCAAAGGTCTACCCAGTGTCTTTACCAGAAAAAATAAGATTTTACACCATGGTGCTATAAAAGCTGAAAAACAAATGTTCCATTCATCGTTGTCCTTGATCATTAACAAAGGGACAGGCTTTAGGATTTATGATAGTAGCAGGTACTGCAGTGACAATCTGTATGGTTCTCTATCTTCACATTGTCCTTAAGGGTAATCTTAAAAAAAAGAAAACACACACATATAACAAATAATTAGCATTAGTTGCCCAGTAAAAATAGCATTGTCAAGTAAAACATCTCTGAGTAAAACCTCAAGGTACACAGGCCCTTTGGGGTACATGTATTAGAATGACCTGAACACCAGCCTGTGGAGCTGCATCACTGTTTCTGGAGCTGTAAGGTGAAGGTTTTCAGTAGTGACATGCATAGTGACATAATTTGGTGTCTTTAATTTGTACACTTCTTAAAGCGTCCAATTTTCCAAAAGTGTCAAGTAACCAATCCATGGAAAATCAGAACGCGTACTTAAAATACATCACAAGGGAATTACCATTATGAAAGCTACAAACACCTTGAGTCACCTTTATAATTAATCTCCACCAAATTCTAGCTGCTGCCTCAAGGCAAGTGCAACATTGTCAATGTAGAGTAAGATAGATGTTCTCCTCAGGTGAAGAGCCAGGATRGGCTCAGCACAGTTTCAAGTCAGGTATCAGACTCTCATCACAGCCACTGGAGACACAGTGCTCTCTTCAGCTGCACACACTGGGCTGTCAATTGCCATTTGAGAGGTCAGAGGGGATCCCACAAGGCCTCCAGCTGTCATTCTAGAAGCTCTTTCATGGATTCTGCACACTTCTGTACCCTATGGTATTTCAAATGCACCAAATCTGTGGTTGGGTAACTCAGCTGAACCTCTGACACACTTAGTGACACCTGATTCAGGTCACCATGAGGTAGACACTTTAGCTTGTTTCAACTATCTCACCATTTATTACATGAAATTTCAGGTTTCTTCACTTGGAGCAGAATTATTCCCAAAATAATCAGATTTAGGAGAATCTCTCCTTAAAAGAACCTTCCAGATTAATGTTAAATGCTCACAGTACTTGCACACATTTATAGTTCCCTCTTGGTTATACTATTAAAACACAATCTCAATCTAATGAGCGCAGATGATTTTTGTCCCTCATTCTCATACATGAAATTGATAGTATTGACCAGACACATTCTCAGAAAACTCCTGTCTATGCAGGAAAGAAACAAGGCCATGGACTTATTTAAATCAAATACACACTGCATAGCATTTCAGGGGAGGATGCACATGCAGGAGATTTGAGAATACTGCAATAAGTCCACCATCAGAGCTGCAGGTGCCATGAGACAAAGCAGTTTCATAGAATTCAGTGGCACTGCACCAATTTCCTCATCCCAGCTGAATATCAGACTTCTTACTGGTTGATGCTTTGATTTCCTCTTTAGAAATAAGAAAGAACCACACAAAGAATATAAATGCCAAAGATTCTTCCCTCAAATTGTTCTCCAGTGTCCACAAGCAAAATCATATTCTTTACTATTCACTGCTTCAGCTTAATATTGCACCCTAAAAGAAGCTTAAGCAGATCTCATTCTCACCCTCACCTTGGTAAAAGCCTTTGCTACACAGCACGTTGCCTCTGATGTAATGTTCTTTGGAACAAGCATGGTTTTCTTGGACCTCATTGGAGTGGGATAGGCACGGGAGAAGCAGCACCCAGTGCACTGGTAAATGGGTGCTCCTGGCTTGGAAAAGAATCTGTTCTCCCCTAGCTTGCACTCTGGACAACCTGCCATAAAAAATATAAGGAAGAGACTTTTACTTGGTTTCCAGCTGTATTTGCATTTTCAAAAAGAAAAAGAAAGTGCAGGCCATAAGAGAAAGCACAAGCCACACTCTGCTGCTTGATGTCTGCAGAACAGAAAAGCACAGCAACCAAAGCTCTCCTCTTTAGGTGTTTTCAACTCTGCAACATGCACACATGCACCAGCTATAAAACTAGACTGTGGCTTTCTAGGTAAACCACAAGCACTACTGTATCTCTTCTGGTTTTCTTTTCAATTTTGCWGATAGTTGTGAAGGTTTGTTCCCATGTCTACAGCACTAGCTATCCCTAGAAAACTTCCTGCTTGATGTAGATAGTTAAAAACATTGGCAGGATTTGTAGTGCTTCTTAAATATTGCCTGTTTTCAGGTAAGTTTCTGTTATCGAGAGTTTTTAAAATGTTCAGTGATCCCAAGATTTTTGTAGACTGCATTTTTTTATATTTCATTTGAGACTAAATAAAAAACCTTGCAAACATCAAAATACCCTTAAAATCTGATATGCATCTTTCATAGCTACACCACTAGCATCCCATATTTTAGGCTCTGCAGAGGAAAAATATTCTGCATATTAAGAGGAGAAGCTATAGTTCTGCTGTTCCTAACGTTACATTGTCATTTAAATCGAGGGTGTACAAGAAACCAAATGTTTCTATTTGATAGTGTTTTGAGGATTAAGGTTACCCACATCAATTTGAGGACATGGTCATCTGGGACATCCTTGACCTGGAGACATTAAATTCAGAGAAGAAATAGGAAGCATAGTCATAGTGAAATTATCCYGATTTTTYACACACTCGTTATCAATAAATGCAWCTGAATTATARAATTTATGACCACATKTAWAAAACATGTGAAAATTTAATTAATACTCYTCTAATTGTTCTTTTTCTGAATGCTGAAAGCAGCTTACCCTGCATGAGAAACTCTCCATCTGGGAAAGTATGAAGAAGATGTAGAAATACAGACAAAATGGTCAATGTGACAACTGCATATTTCCCGTAGCAATCCATGATCTGTCTGGAAATAAAAATACACACATTTTTGAAGGACTGTTTTGCACTGGGTACAGTACCAGTATCTAGCCTGTACACTCATTACAGCATTTACTGCAAGTAACAGAGACAACTTAGAACTGGGGTCAAAAACTGAAAATGCTGAGTACTGATGTGCATTTTATAGATTCAGAAAATAGACTTCATCACAATAAGAAAGGTATGCCTGTCTTTCTGGCCTTAATGGTTCTTATTTCCCCTGAATATTAACACAAGCCACAGCACCTGAACTTCTAATATTTATGATAGACTGGTATGCTRGTTTTGGCTGGGATAAAGTTAATTTTCTTCATAGTAGCTARTGTGGGGATATGCTCTGGATTTTTGTTGAAATTACGGTTGATAACGCAGGGATATTTCCATTTGTGCTGAGAGGGGCTTGCACAGCATCAAGAACTTTTCTGCTCCTCACCCCACCCTGCCAGTGAGGAGACTGAGGGTGCACAGGGAGTGTGGAGGGGACACAGCCAGGACAGGTGACCCAACTGACCAAAGAGACATTCCACACCGTATGACATCTTGCTCAACATATAAAGCTGGGGGAATAAGAAAGAAGKGGAGGGACATTTGGAGTGATGGTTTTTGTCTTCCCARGTYRTCATTACGCATGATGGTGTCCCGCTCCCCTGGGGATGSCTGATCACCTGCCYGCCCATGAGAGTAGSAAATGAATTCCTTGTTTTGCTTTGCTTGTGTGTTCTGCTTTTGATTGCAATATTAAACTGTCTTTACCTCCACCCACAACTTCTCTCACTTTTACTCTTCTGATTCACTGCACTGGGGGGAGAGTAAGTTGCATTTATTTTAGTCTTCATTTTACTGATTTACAGAATTTCCCTCTTAAAAATGATTTTTTTTCTGAAGCATAGACCTGYGTCCTTCCTTTAGAAATTAATTACTTCTGGTGAAGTAATTGTGTCCACAGAGAAAAAAGATGGATAAAGGATGCTGAAGTATTAAATTTCCAGACTGGAACATCTTGTGCAGGTGATGGAGAAACCCAACCTGGCTGACCAGGGACAGCTTTGCCTTGGAGAATTGAGTTTCGGAGTTTTTATTGCTGGGACACAGAGCATATTTAAATAGGAGGATTTTTTCAAAACCTTCACAGATAATCTTGTAAGGAATTCTAGGCTAAGTGATGTTCACCTTCATCCTCAAGAATGGGTGCCTTGCTGTGGATGTGCAGCAGTGCCTGGTTCACTGGCCCCAGTTCTTTTTGTCTTTTCTTGGCTTCAGCCAAGCACCCCAGTCTTTGCCTAGAATTAACCACTACTTGTTTAGCCCATGCCTCTTCCAACAGGATCTTTTGAACAATTTCTTCTGTGCCTGCATAGACCATCTGATCCCTTGACTTTAAAAGACTGGAACTGTCACACCACAGCGTGATGTGGTACTGAGTGATGTGTGGGATAAGGCTCCAGGTTGACAGCACTGACATATACATTTTAAACACTGAAAGCTGTGGTGCTTATCAAGCAAAAAACAAACCAACCAAAAACCCCCAAACAAAAAAAAAACAACTTGCCACAAACATGAAATTCTTAACTACTTAGGAGCATCTCTTCTTCCAAACACAGCAGTCAATGTTCCTACTCCACAATAAATATTCTCCAGGGATGGTTCGAATTGTGGCCCCAAGTATTTCTAAAAGCGATATGGCAATGAGAAGGACAATAAYGCCGCCAACACAGAAATCAATCTAGACATATGGTGTAGAGGCTATTTCACCATGCTGTACTGATCAGAGAAGGCATTGCTAACCCTAATCAGGAAGAAATGATAGAAAATCAAAGCATAATTAAATTAGGATAGCTTTCACATAAAACTGAAGTATTTCTTTATAGATTTTGCACCTCCCCAGCAGAATCCCTGCAAGAACTGCCACCATGCAAATGTTCAAATAATGCCTGCTCATATCTGGAGGGAGAGGYAAACCTGACGTGGTTCAAGGAGTGAAGCCACTTGCCTGCTGTCATTATCCAAGATTGAACCTAGAGCACTGGGATGTGTACAAAGGGAGTATTGATCAGCAGAGTGATGCTCCATCACTGCACAAATTCCCAGAGATAGAYGGGGATGTGGGACTGCTACACACAGGTCAGCAGGTCTTGATTCATTGATTAAACAGACACACGATGCAATCCTCAAAAGTAGCAGTCCTGAAGGCAGCAGAGCACAAGCCCTACAAGGCAGCTTTGAAACCAGGAAAAAAAAATGCAAGAGAGCTCTATCCTTGCAGCAATCAGGAAAAGATCCTGCCCAAGCATATGAGGCTGAGACCAAAGGCAGGATGAAAAGAGTATGGCCCGTGCCTGACGGGGTTACCACAGTGAAAGAAACAAAGTTTATGAGTAAGACTGGTGTGCAATGCTTTCCAGTGCAGTGAATGAAGCATCTTCCTAATTAAGACACAAGAAAAATAGAGGAAACAGAACGATTTGAAGCCCAGCTAAGCAGGATGGCTAAGACACCAGTAAGGCAGCAGTTATCATGTGGCAAGGCTGAGTGTTGGGTACAAGTAACCTCATGTCCTCCCTCCCACCTGCCCAGTGAGTCAGTTCATGCTGGCAGAAAGCAGAGGATAAAGGAATTAAAAACAACCAATAATGATAAGGAATCAAAAATACTAGCAATAATTTTGGAAGCAGTGGAAATAAGCATTTAGAAGAGGTATCAAAAAGCCAGTTCAGTGTATGTATGTAGATAAGCATACAGGCTCTATGCAACCTGYGTTATCCATCTGAGCTTGGACTTTTACTGAAAGCATTGGAAATGTCCRACATGGCTTCATGAGAAGGAGCTGCCAGCCCTCTGTGACCTGTTTCCTCAACAAGAGTAAGCTGTGTCTGCAGGAGAAAGGTAGTCTTTCACTGTTTAGATCCACAACCTCTTATGGTCCTGCCAAATATTTTGGGAACTAACTGAGCTCAGCAGCATCTGCAGAGCCACGCTGAGGGGACTGGCTGGATCCCTAGAATCAGGAAATAAAGCTTTTTTTAAAAGATTGTTTCTGTATATCCTCTTTCTAACCCCATCGAGGGGGTGTGACTTGCCTACACTGGAACACAATTCCACATTTTAATGTTGAGCCCTGCTCCATCCAAGGGAATATTCCCCAGAGTTCAAGAAGTCAGCTGGAGGGTCTCATGCACCAGCAGAAGACAGACAGACTTTTCCATATTATCTGTTTCCATAACATCCTGAGCCTTTTGACAGCCTAAAGCTTCAATGGCTCCAATAAAAGAAGCCAGGCACAGGAATAACAGCACCACCCTAGACTGATTATCCTGTGTTTCGTGTTTTTTACTGAAGGCACTGCAGCATTCTTCATCCTAATTTTTTCCAAGAACACATAATGCTATAATTTGGTACATTGTAGGAACTTGAGGAAATCCCAGAGGGAAGTTTTTCACATTACRTTAACCAAAACGGGAATTGAAATTGCAGTTTTGCACTTCCTCTACTGAGCCCGATTGTCAGGCTCATACCAAAACCACCAGAGACCTGCCTATAAACTGCAGATGTGATCTGTACTTTTCCAGACCAATAGCTGTTTTGTCTGATGGTCTTACTTGAATTTTCCAACCGTTTCCATCCTGTTAACTCCGTTAATGTTCTCACCGCTCATTTCACCTCACCATCAAATCCAAGAAAGCTTTTACTTTGTTCTATTAAATATTATCTTTCTTAAGCTGGTAGAAAAAAAATATATATATAATGCCTGAATTTCAGCAGCTCTTTGGAAAGACATAATTTGAAATCTTTCCCAGCAGGTAAAGTCTCACCTCATTATTTACAATATCTTGTCTTTTATTGTTAAAGACTCTAAAAGATGTGCTAATTCCACAGRTTGTCTAATGTTTGACATTTAACAGAAATTGCCACCATTAAGCAGGAGAAAAATAAAAAGTTACTAATGAAGAAGTTTGGGACCCAATCAGAAATGAAAAATTATCMATGTTTAGCTGCAATCTAATTCTAGAGCTTCATTTTCTCTTACTTACAAAGTTAGTTTAACCYGAAGCACTGATGTTAAATCCCAAARCAACTTCCAAGTTAATGTTCAAAGCAAAAACTTTGACAGAATGGAAGGAGAAGAAAACTTATGGAGAGAAAGGAAAGATAATGCAAAAAAATACACAATCGTTATTCTTTAACAGTAATGAAAAAAAAAAAATTACCTTCCTTGTCTAACAAGAATAAATCAGAGAAACTGCAGGACGGTGTCTGAAGATGAGCTGTCCTTGATGCTTGGATGTAATGTCCCAAAACTGATGTATGAAAAAGTAGCACCTTTCTTTTATACCACTAAAAGCTAGATCATATTTCTCGCCCACATCCAAGCCATTGGATCAACTGTACATTTTCTCTAATGACTGAACATCACTTTATGTAATTACCAGCCCACCATGCTGATCTTATCTTCAACCTGACTTTCATAAGGATAATTTTTTTCTTATATAATGAAAGAAAGGTCAGACTGAGAGCACAAACTCARTGCTGTATGAGTTTCCTGGGGAACTCAAACACTGAACATCCTATTTTTTGCTGCAGTTTTCAGTGAACAAAACATAATTTTCAAAAAAGAACAAATTACCAGTGTTTTCTAACACTTCTTTTTAAACTGGGGAGTATTATTAAAAAAAAAAATCATAAAACACTACCATAGCAATAACATTGTTTTAGCAGAGAATAAAAATCAAAAAGCAGCAGTGATCGATACAAACATTTAGAAGAATCCCTTTGAATTCAATGTCCAGCAAATGAATGCATGGATTTACATAGAAACATAGAAGGAGCACCTTTATAAAGGTGAGATTTCTGGCAGGATCCTACCTTGTTTTCGAAGTAAAGCTGGTGCAATGGAGGCAGTTCTGAAACCTGCACCAGAATGAAGCTTTTAAGGCTTAGAGACTTGCAAGCCCTCAATTTCAAGTGACAGAGTCTGTGTCGAT